AGGAATGCATGAGTGTGCGCCATGGTAACGCACTGTCTCATGAAATCCGTCCACTGGGAAAACACACATCATGGCATTAAACTCAACTATTTCCATGGAGACAAGCGGGCGGCACCAGCAGGCCAGATCTGCGGAGAGGCGCTTCGAGATTTACTTAGTCACATCTGTAAAGTTGAAATTACCTCAAGACGTCCGAGTTTCTTGAGTACATGCGCTCAGGATAAAAAATGTCAACTAGTAAACTGTTTTTTTATGGACTTTATTCCGGAAACACACCAAGACAAGAGAAGAACTTTTTAATCCATCATGTTACTATCGTTGCTTTTATTTTAAGTTTGGTTTTAGCAGAGTCTGTTCACGTGATTTACAAACTTTTCACCAAAAGCACCCAAACTTCTTTACAGACAACGGAGCTGTACTTCCAGGCCATGTTTTTACTGTATTTTTTTCTTTATGTTTTTCACTTTTTAACAGAAAAATAAAATAAAGTAAAAACAGTAACTGGACTTAAGTATTTCTCCGTGGCAAATTAAGAAACGTTTTTACAGACATGGTCGCATGAGACTAGAAATACCTGAGTCGGCAGAATTACAGGAGATAAAATTTGGTGGAATTTTTACGAACATTTTTACAGACAAGACCGACTTGCACGGGACTAGAAACACAGATGGCGTTCATAATTATTACAATTTAACGGGAAACCCCGGGTAAAACTAATCCAGTGTGAATAGGTGTTGAGAATGCATGCTTTTCAAGGTAAACACACCTGTAATCGGATATGCGCAAGATACGATTAATGCCATAGTGTGGAACATTCCAGGCAAGGCAAGACCCTGAAACAGAAGTTACACAGTGCTCTTTTAAACAAACTTAAAAATGTGATGAATGAGTTGATTTAAAAGTAAAATATCTTTACAGTAATTCACATTTTTAACCCTCGTGCACTCCTTTAAAAATAGTTACACCTGTGCTCCTTCATGACAAAAATGTACATTGAAAAAGAATATCACAATATTTTTATGCAGTACAGATTTTTTCCAACTTTTTTATATCAGTGTCTTCATTTACTTCTGCTCTCATCATACATACCAATAATATATAATATTTTGAAATTTTAACCCTTTAAATGACATTTTTGTCAGCAAAAGGCTCAAAATTAAAGAAATTGATTATTTCTATTTTCAAATCATTTTAATTTGTTTATGTTGTGTTGTATGTAGTGCCAATACTGATTTTTACATTCTTTTAGTTTTTGCACAAACTCAAATAATTACACCTGTGCTCCTTTATGACAAAAATCGAAAAACAATACCACAATATTTTTTAGTACAGATTTGTGTTCAACTTGTGTTTTTATATCATTGTCTTCATTTACTTCTGCTCTAATCAAACAAACCAAATACAAATGTCTTTCTATTGATATAACCTTGCAATGGAAGATACACAGTAAAAAGAAAAATATCAAAAAATTAAAAGAGACACTAAAACTAAACATTTTGAAGGAGTTTTCAACACCAAAGAATGAAAAATAAATGGAAGTCAATGGGACAAAAATGTACCGAAGGACCACGGGTGTTAGTATTTTCATTATAGACTGTTTAATTAATGTGATCTTGAAATAAAACACAGAAATTAAAATTACATCACAAAATACCCAAGCTGGCCAATTTTGGTGTTAAAAATGTACCTGGGGTGTTGGAGGGTTAAAGATCCTCCTCAAAAACAGACTTGAAGTGTTTTGTTTCATTCACACATGTCTGAGTAACTCTTTATTATTAGTCTGAGTACAATTCCAAAGCTGAAATTGCTCTGTTCCACCTTGTGATGTCATGACGTGATAGTTTTCAAGTTCATTTTACCTTTAGTTCAGTAGAGATTGGCAATTCCAGGACTGAAATGATCCAAATGATTCTAGTCAAGGTGTGTGGAGTTTAAAAACATACTGGAGCACTTCCTGTATTCCCACGTGACATCACAAGGTGGAACAGTGTTTTCTGTGTGAGAGAAGAACAATGTTTGTGATGAAGAAACAACAACATTATAACATAGATCATAAAATAGCGTAATATGGGCTCTTTAAGAAACCAACTCATAGGCCGATCGTTTTTTTTTTTTTTTTTTTTTTGACAGTGCAGTGAGTAGTTTAGCCACAGCTTAGTTTTGGCGGTGTGTTCGCTGCCCTCTGTCTTTTGTCAGTTCAGTTGGCGGTGCGTTCGCTGTCTGAGAATCAGTGAGTAAATCTGTGATCTCTGAAGAGTCTTTGTTTGGGGCCGTTGTGGCTCATTGGAGATAAGATCATTCACGCAGACTGAAGGGCCCCATTCATTTGCATAGTCCACACTCACAGCTGTTGATTCACACTCAGGTCTGGCAAGATAATATATTCTGAAGTGAACCGGGACTAAACCAGAACTGAACCAGGACTAAACTGGGCTACAATCAGGACATGTGTGAACTGTGAGGTCAGAAGTAGAACTAAACTTGTTTGGAAAGACGGACTAAACTAGGACTAAGCAGAACTAAAACGAGATCAAATGAAGTCTATATCGGGACTAAAAGAGGCTCTAACCAGGAACAAACCAGAACTTGACTAGGTTTAAACCGAACCAGAACTAAACCAGAACTGAACCAGGACTAAATGAGGCTCAAACCAGGACATGTGTGAACTGTGAGGTCAGAAATAGATCTAAACTTGGACCAAATCAAGTTTATATCAGGACTAAGCAAGGCTCTAACTGGGACTAAACCAGGACTTAACCGGATCTAAACCAGGACCAAGCCAGGACTAAATCAGGACTAAACCAGGACTAAGCTGAGACTAAATCAGGACTAAACCAGGACTAAGCCGAGACTCAATCAGAACTAAACCAGGACTAAGCTGAGACTAAATCAGGACTAAACCAGGACTAAACTGGGCTCAAACCAGGACATGTGTGAACTGTGAGCTAAGAAAAAGAACTAAACTCAGACCAAATCAAGTTTATATCAGGACTAAACGAGGCTCTAACCAGGACTAAACCAAAACTTAACCAGATCTAAACCAGGACCAAGCCAGGACTAAACCAGGACTTAACAAGGATCAAACTGGGCTCAAACCAGGACTGTGAGGTCGGAAATAGAACTAAACTTGGACCAAATCAAGTTTATATCAGGACTAAACAAGGCTCTGACTGGGACTAAACCAGGACTTAACCAGATCTAAACCAGGACCAAGCCAGGACTAAATCAGGACTAAACCAGGACTAAACCGAGACTAAATCAGAACTAAACCAGGACTAAGCCGAGACTAAATCAGGACTAAACCAGGACTAAACTGGGCTCAAACCAGGACATGTGTGAACTGTGAGCTAAGAAAAAGAACTAAACTTGGACCAAATCAAGTTTATATCAGGACTAAACGAGACTCTAACCAGGACTAAACCAGGACTTAACCAGATCTAAACCAGGACCAAGCCAGGACTAAACCAGGACTTAACAAGGATCAAACTGGGCTCAAACCAGGACTGTGAGGTCGGAAATAGAACTAAACTTGGACCAAATCAAGTTTATATCAGGACTAAACAAGGCTCTAACTGGGACTAAACCAGGACTTAACCAGATCTAAACCAGGACCAAGCCAGGACTAAACCAGGACTAAACCGAGACTAAATCAGAACTAAACCAGGACTAAGCTGAGACTAAATCAGGACTAAACCAGGACTAAACTGGGCTCAAACCAGGACATGTGTGAACTGTGAGCTAAGAAAAAGAACTAAACTTGGACCAAATCAAGTTTATATCAGGACTAAACGAGACTCTAACCAGGACTAAACCAAAACTTAACCAGATCTAAACCAGGACCAAGCCAGGACTAAACCAGGACTTAACTATGCTCAAACCAGGACTTAACCAGGACTAAACCGGAACTGAGGACACGTGTGAACTGTGTGGTCAAAGAAATAGAACAAAGTCTGTTTTTGTAAGGCGTCACAGCAGCAGCAGGGGGCGCTGCAGCAGGATCTTTAAGTGTGAGTTTATTGATCCAGAGTAAACACTGTAAAACAATAGGACACAGTCATATCAATATATTTGCATTTTGTGTTTTGAACCTGAACAGATCCACCTTTGTTTTAAATGTCACCGCAGCACCTGACAGTTTGACAAAGGACACTGCTCTATAGTGACAGTTACAGGCTGGACTTTACGGTAAATAAAAGGAAGGGGGGGGGTCATATGTATGTACACCTATGTTTATATTTAAAGGTATAAGTTAAAGTTAAAAGTGAAGTTAAAACCAATCATAATGGAGACAGAGAAGTGTAGAGTAGAGTAGCTATTATGGTCAAATTAAGTCTGTAGAATGCTGCCTTAGTGTCCAAAAATTAGGAAGTACACTTTTATCATGCTAGTTGTTCGTATTACTGTGACCTCCTCTGGATAGCTGCACATCATAGTAGTGAGAAGCAGATTTTTTTTTATATCATCTTTACCAAAATGACTACACAACTCTGCTGAATCATATGGGTATCGCAGATTAACCCTGTGTTCAATTATTTTTTGGACCTCGGATTTGACGTCACATTTGAGCTTGAAGTGTATTATTATTATGTTTCGTGTGTCGGCCTACGTGGATTATGATTATGACTATTCCCTCATCTTATGAAAATGCTGCCACTTTAATTAATTTAATTCTTGAAATTTGCACTTCATTTTGTGCTATGATTTCTCTTCCCTTCCAACCTTAGGGACATTAGGGACAATATTGGCCTCACAACAACACCGACTACCAAACCGCAGTAGTGATACGGCCGTGGTAAAGTATTGCAGTGATACGAGTGACTGAAATTGTCATTTAAACCACCAAAGTGTCCAAACACAATGAAAACAATTCATATTACTCCAAACACAACTTTGGGGAGTAAATGATGAGGGGAAACTATTCCACGATTAAAAACCCTGAATAGTAAATTTTGTATAAGAAGTGAGTTTTAACAACCTTCTTTTTCTCTTCTCTCTTTCAGGATGTCTGCCTCTGGTGTTTACCCCTCACTGCTGCTGCTCCTCTGCTCTCTTCTCTCCTCTGCCTCCTCCCAGTGCGACCACTCCTCTGAAACCTCCAAAATCAACCCAAACGTACACTACGAACTCCCCACGTTCACTTCAGAATTCCCCATCCAAAACATGGTCACGCTGGACGGAATAGTTTACGTCGGCGCTACGAATCGGATCTACGCGCTGTCGCCCAATCTCACAAAATTATCGGAATATAGAACGGGACCACTGAGAGCGAACGAAACCTGCGGACACAAAACGGACAACGCCAACGCTATAATCGACAATCGGAATATCGCCTTGGTAACGGAAAACATTTACGATAAAGGATTGTACAGCTGCGGATCTGCGGATAATGGGATTTGCAGACGCCACGTTTTGTATGAAGACGACGAAATGGGCCCTAACACTGTTGACGACGAAGTTTACTGTTTCGCCGATAAAGTTAGGCTTCGTAAAGGCAACCCGTATAATTCGGACATTGTTGTTAGCGCTTCCGGATCGCAGGTTCTCAATGTCGAAAGCAACCTAATCCAATTTTTCGTAGGGAATTCGGAAATCCCCGGTAACAAAACAACACCAAACACGCACACAATATCTGTACGTAAAATGAAAACTAGCCAAAACGGATTCACGTTCTTCTCTAGCGCCGCGCACATGGACTTGATACCATCTTTACGCGGAAACTACTACTTACGCTATGTCTACTCCTTCAACAGCGGTCCGTTTACATACTTTTTAACTGTACAGCGCGTCAGTAAAGATTCAAATGCTTTCCACACCAGAATCGTACGCATGTGCTCTTCTGATACGGTGATCAGACGCTACGTAGAGATGCCGCTTCAATGCATTCGCACGGACAAACGCCGCAGACGCTCCACGGAAGACGTAAAGGTTTTTAACATCCTGCAGGGGGCGTACGTGAGCAAAATCAAGGAGGACACGGAGTTGCAGAAGCAGCTGAAAGTGGGACCGAATGACGATGTTTTGTTCGCGGCGTTCGCTAAAGGGAAACCGGACTCCCCCGAAGCTACGGCGGATTCTGCCGTGTGCGTCTTCTCTTTAAGTCACATAAACAACATGATCAGGAGGTACACGCAGAGCTGCAGCACCGTGGAGCCGTACCATTTCACGGGCACTGACCACAAGTCCTGCTACAACGTGGTAAGAGGCACTGTATGTTTTATTTTTAGTGTTGTTTAAAGGTGTACTACATAGGCCTGTCATGATAATCAATATATTGACTTATCGTTCAGTATATGAAAGCTGGAACACTGTTTTTCTGGGATCAGAATTTATCATGTGTATATTTTCTTTGCACTATTAGGACATTTTTGGTTATTTTTTGGGTATATGCAAACCAAGTACTGTATTTTTTGGGCCAGAAGGTGCACTTAAAATCCTTTAATTTTCTCAATCCGGTGCACCTTATGTATTAATTCTGGTTGTGCTTTCTGACCTCGAACCAATTTTATTTGTTATGGTGCTCAAAAATCAGAGTCAAAAAGTCAGAATGTTTTAGTACGACTTTGATGAGCTATGAAGCCGCACCGCTTGATGGATTGTCGGACCATTATGGTTACTGTAGTCTGGAGCCTCGTGGAGTAAAGCCCAATTTACGATCCTTAGTCTGACTGAAGCTGACCACATCAAAGCACAAGGGGTGAGCTGGTTTTTCAGGCTGATAGTTTATGTATATTAGGCATGTTTTTTTAAGTTTCATTTCTGTAAAATGTAAACAAATGTGCACAAACCTGCATAAAACACATCAGTACTTAATGTAAGCGAATTACGCTACACTCTGCCAATGGATCGTAGATGCCTGGGCTAAGGGATCAGTCTCAAGTGTCGTCCGTTTGTTTCGCTTAATGCGACTTATAATCCGGTGCACCTTATGTATGAAAGCAGACGAGAGAATTCAACATTATTGATATTGCCCCTTATAATACAGTGCACCTTATAGTCTGAAAAATACAGTACTAAAGTTTTTCATTCTGCTATTTATTTATTTATCGCAGCTCATGTTTTTCTTAACAATATTATAAAGTTAGAATAGATTTTGAGGTGTAAATCTCAAAATCTGTTGGGTTTTTGTGTTCTTGGCAGTGTAGTCGAGGTGGGGGTAAACGGGCCCCAGGGTCTAAGGGTCCCAGAATTGGAATCTCTGTCTATGAATTAATATTAGAGGGGGGGCATGTGAGTCCTCTTGTCTAGTCAGTGGCATACATTTGTTTCAGTATTATTGTTTATCATCTATATTTACTTATAAAGCAATATATCATGCTTCAAAATCTGTTATAGTGACAAGCCTAGCATTTCGGGACTTTTCTGATAAAGACTGACTCCCAACAAACGTTGCAACATAAAACCATGGGAACCCATTTAACATTGTACAAAATATTTCATCCACATCTCCATGGAGGCACATGGGGGTGTACCGTCTGCAAGAAAAGTAGTGAAAAGTGATAGTGAAAGTTTTAGAATGGCATGAGACCGAAGCCTGTAGATGACTCCACTGTGAAAAACATGTTTGAATTGGAGCAGAGCTGAAGTTCTTTTCTATTTGTTTATGAAGTTGGTGGATAGAATTAGGTCATGTTAATTTTCTTAATTGGGCATGACAGAGAAGAGGAGGATGGAGAGGAGAGGGTCAGATGCAGTAGAAGGTCAGATGGAGCAAAGGAAAGGGTCAGATGGAGTAGAAGATGCAGAGGAGGAGGTCAAATGGAGCAGATAAGAGGGTCACACGGAGTAGAAGGTCAGATGGAGCAAAGGAAAGGGTCAGATGGAGTAGAAGATGCAGAGGAGGAGGTCAGATGGACCAGAGGAGAAGCTCAGATGGAGCAGAGGACCAGAGAAGAGGGTCAGATGGAGTAGAAGATACAGAGGAGGAGGTCAGATGGAGCAGAGGAAAGAGTTAGATGGAGCAGAGGAGATGGTCAGATGGAGCAGAGGAGAGGGTAAGACAGAGTAGAAGATGCAGAGGAGGAGGTCAGATGGAGCAGAGGAGGAGGTCAGATGGCGCAGAGGAGGAGGTCAGATGGTGCAGAGGAGGAGGTCAGATGGAGCAGAGGAGGAGGTCAGATGGTGCAGAGGAGGAGGTCAGATGGAGCAGAGGAGGAGGTCAGATGGAGTAGAAGATGCAGAGCAGTGGGTCAAATGTCAGTTCATACCTCTAAGCTAATTTGTGTCAGATGAAGTATACAAGAAGGTCAAGATGAGAGTCAGAGATGGAGGAGGAGGTCAGATGGAGCAGAGGAGGAGGTCAGATGGTGCAGAGGAGGAGGTCAGATGGTGCAGAGGAGGAGGTCAGATGGAGCAGAGGAGAGGGTAAGATAGAGTAGAAGATGCAGAGGAGGAGGAGGTCAGATGGAGCAGAGGAGGAGGTCAGATGGAGCAGAGGAGGAGGTCAGATGGAGCAGAGGAGGAGGTCAGATGGAGCAGAGGAGGAGGTCAGATGGCGCAGAGGAGGAGGTCAGATGGAGTAGAGGGTCAGATGGAGCAGAAGATGCAGAGCAGTGGGTCAAATGTCAGTTCATACCTCTAAGCTAATTTGTGTGCTTTGTCTATTTTTTCACCCATAAGTAGTTTGTCTAGACTCCCTCATGGAGGTCTCCGATGGTTTTTAGCCCTGACGTGTTAATCTCGTGTTCTCGCTCTAGTCTTTTGCGTGCTCTGGGTGGTCTCCTCTTAATCGCATGTGTATTAGTCTCATAACTTCAGCTCAGTTTAAAGTCTGACTTTCTTCTAATTGACCTTTGAATTCTGACCTCTGTGAAGCTTAAGTAAACCCTGCTAACGTCCACATATATGCAGACTGTGGGGCTGTGGGGCAGTGTGTGGAAAAACATGTGATTTGAGAGTAGTTTATGTTGACTATGATTGCTATTTATTTGAACATATAAGAGAAACGTTAAGGCTAGACAAGGTATATGCCAGGATAAAGAAGATCTAAACAGAGAGGGAACTCAGAAGGAGTAAAATGTATATCTAAATTACGTCAAATCCAGGACTAAGCCAGGACTTGATCTGAATATACAAAATCGACTTAAAAAGCATCTCTAAAACAGGGCTATAGCAGTTCTTAGGTCTTAGGGATGCACTGAGCCAATACTGGTATCAGATATCGCCACCAAAATTGAAAAACTCGGTTTAGATATCCTGATTGGACATATGAATTCATGTATAAGACTATTTACTTGTCTTAGTCGGCTCAGAAAGTCTCATAATGTTTGAATTTTTATTTATTATAAGCTGTTCTGTGGTCATTTCAGAGATAAATAACAGCTGCATGCAACATTTGGATCAGTTTTGTCTTAGTTTACCTTAGTTTAAAGGAAATAAATGTTGTTTTCAGTCTCTGCACTGGTATCGGTTAATATCATTGGCAGATGCTTAAAGCTATAGTATCGGAATTGGTATCTGAATTGAAAAAGTTGGAGCTACGCATTTCCTAACAGGTCTAAAGATATAATGCATATATATTAGGGATGGGCACGATTAGTCAACTAATCGATAACTGATGATTAAGAATTTCGTTGATCACGTTCATTTTTAATCGATGAACTGAATGTAGGTTGCTGTGTGTAGTGTAAGGAGATGAAGCTGCGTCTGACAGCACAAACACTGGATTTGCGCCCTCACAGTCCCACGTTTCAGCTCTGGCTCCTTGGAGATCACAGTGAGTGTGTTTACATGTTTACACCAGTGTCGATCGGGTTTTTTGAGTATCCGGGATTCGTCATGGTGCATGTAAATGCAGTTTTCCGGTTACTGCAACATAAAGTTGAGTGCACATGCGTCCAAAAAACAAACACTTTTCAGTCTTTTCATCACAACAGAAGCCAAAATAAATAAAGTGACCAACATAAATAAAGTGAGTGAAATGAGCTGCACTAAACCTGCACACGTTTGATCTCTCAAAACATGAACCATCTCCGACCATGACACACACAGAACAGACTCACCATGAGCATCAACATCCCTCTGTCACAGAGAGAACACTCATAGTGTCATGTCCTTTAGTCTGATAAAAGCTGAACCGCAACGGTGCACAAGGAAAGAGCTGTTTGTTTTCAGCACTTATATTTTATGCAAATGAGCCATGTGGTTTTAAGTTTTGTTTCTATAAAATGTAAACAAATGTGTCAAAGCTGCATTAAACACATTATAATTAATAATAATAAAACGGGCTGATGTGGCTCTATAGTGGTTATGGTTTATATGTTGTAAAGTTGAGTTTATTTAAGCAGATTAGTAATAGTAATAATAATGATCAAAACCTTAATGATTAATCGAAAATCTATTGTTAATTCTCCAAATGATCGATTAAGAAAATTTTATCGAATGCCCATCCCTAATATATATGGCGCTATTTTCAAAGCTGCTTTACAATTTCATTCATTATTCTTTCACTTTCATACTAAGCAATGTTGGGGAAGTGTCTTGCCTTAGGACACAATAACAGTTTGCACTAGAATCATTGCTGCCCCATTGTGGCGCCTGATATTCCCGGCAGTGTCCCATCCCAAATTGAAACTGAACTAAACCACATTGATAAACAAGAACTAAACCAAGATCTACACCATCAAAATGAAATGTCAAAAAATAGAACAATCTTATCTTAAAATATTACTCCATATATTCTATTTTCTAGTCATTTGTCCTTTTCATTTGTGAGTCATACGTCTTCATTACTGCTGCCCAGAGTTTGTACAGAGTATAAATTAATGGCAGCAGTCTCGTTCTTAATGACAAAGTGCTGATGTGGCTAAGGTCAGACTCTGCTCACTCATTTTGGCTTTTCAAATTCACTTAAAACGAAGCGAGAGTTATTCAGGGAAGCCCAGTTTGAGCAAGAAAAACAAACAGACAGACTCATTTGGTTGCGTGGCGTTTTGGATATTAAAGATGCACCACGTAACTTCTAGTGTAGGGTACATCCTATCTATTCTTATCTCTCTTACAGAAAATAAAACTATAAACTGCTTTCCCTATGTTCCCTGGAGTTGTGATGCTGATGTAGGCACTGGTCTGTCTTGACGCTCTCTTAGACTGTGAAACAAGTCCCTCTTAAACAGGGGCGGCGCCAGGGAGGGGGGCTTGAGGGGGCACCGGCTCTCCTCCTAGAATGGCTAATACGTCCCCCTTTTTGCCCCATTTTC